CCCCCTTGCCTATGAGGACTCCCCCCTCCCCCTTCGCCCGCCGCCACCACACCGCCGCGCCGGTTTCGACTCCCCTCCTTGACCGCTTCCGCTTCAGAAGGTATGATAGCCGAGATGAGTTGGAGCTCCCCCTATCGCCAGATATGTTTTATGTTGTTTCAATCTGGATCCTCCAGACATGAAGTGCGCGATCGATGTGCACTTAGCTTGTACCAAAGCAAGGCAGCACTGAACTGAACCGCGACGTGTACACCGCTTGTCGGGGATATCCATGGATGTTCAATCGCAGCAGCAGTAGGTATGTAGCATGCGCACGCGTGTTTACAGTATCCCGCCTGTACTTTTTCCAAAAAAACACACGCCTCTCCTTGAAAGATACATACAACACCTCCCTGCGTTTATTCGACTCGTCGCCGATGCTTCGAAATCATATGTGTATATTTATATATGCATACACACATACATACCCCCTGTGACAATGTAAATCACGATCATTTTTTTGGAATAATTGCAGATTCAGAAGGTCTCCGAGCTGACTGGGGTCCCGCTGGTGAGCTGCCGCCCCTGGCTGTGCATGCCTCGCAAGAACAGGAACGGTCCCCCCGGTCCCCTTCGGCCGGCCGCCGCCCTCCTGCCGCAGCACCTCCAGATGAGCATCTGCGAGGTACAGAAGTGATGATGCAATGAGAGAGCACTTTCATACAGACGAAGGACGCACACCTATCTCTACGTATCTGTGCAGAGTTTCTCGGGGAGAGCCAAGAGAAAAACAGGCATGGTTGAAGTGCAGCCTTGTGGGTGCGAAGGCCGAGATGGAGCCGTGTTTGATTATGTCCTGCCCATGGTTGGTTGCAGAACGCGCCCGTTCTCTCTTAGGAAACCCTTGCGTTACCCGAGGTTCGCCTATTTGTTTTCTCTATTGAGGTAACCCAAACATCGACTGGTACGTCTCTCCGAACACAACCACATAGGTAACCCTCCGTCTCTCGGACCCATCCCACGTGCCCGCCCCCCGTCTACCGAAGCTAGCCCACCTACCCCCCCCCCGTCTCTCGTAACTAAGGCCATTTTTTATGGTAATTTTTCAGATGTGGAATCCTGATTTTTTGCCTTTTGCATCCAAACCCCATGAGGCCGCAGGAATTCTGCGTACTTGGTGGGAAAAGCTCACAAAAGCGCTTTGGCACTCAGTACTCGCCTCGTAGTGCATTGCCGTCAGCCTCGTCGAGCCAAGTTTGGGGAGCTGCGGTGCAGTGTATGTTCCCCGTGCTTGGTAAAATAGGAATTCCAATTTGGAATTGCTGGACGATCCTGGTGGGAATCCCTCATGAATTCCCAACTGAAATCGGTTGGAATTCCTCATTGGGAATCGTGAATTTGTTTTCATATCATTGCATACTCTACGCACACTGCGCTCTAGCTGCCCAAACTTAGCTCCGAGAAGCTCACAGTAGTGGAGTGTACAGTCTTATCGGTAAGATGTCAAACAGGGGTCTGTGAGGCGAGGACGAACTGACAAAGCGTTTTGGTGCTCTCTGCTTGCTGCCCAGTACGCAGACCTCCTACTTTTAGGAGGTGATGAATCCCCCCGTTTCCCGGAACATTTCCCCCCCGCCCCCCCCCGTTTGCCATCGGGGTTGGGTTTTCGTCGCTTGGCAACAACGTTGTAACACAAGCCAATTCACTTCGTGAACTCGGCAACCAGGTTACCGTTTTTCTATTTTTTCTTCACCTCTGTTTTTTTTTGCGGTAACCATAATGGTGGTCGAGTAGATCATGTTGTGCGGGGTCGAGAACCCTCACTCCGCGCAAGGGGGATGATCGCACCACGTTGTGTTAAAATGGTCAAGCACCCTTCAGGCAGTTACACAGTACTTACAACTGTCTCTGGAAGTGAATGCACCAGAACATAAATTAAGTCATACGCAGCTGTCATCCCTGCGCAAGGAAGTAAGCACAATATGCCGAACACCCTTAGCAGGATGCAGCGCACCCTTCATGCGACTCGCCGAATATCTCACGGCGCTTCGCGCTTGGTGATGTGAGAGCCTGGTCCGGTGAGAACCCGGCGTGCTCCGTCCCGGCTTTGTAGGGATGCGAGGTCAATGGTCTAACGACTACGGCATGCACGACTAT